CCCCCACCTCTGCTGCCCTAGGCGAGTGGAGCACAGGACAGCAGGGTAAGTGGAGTGCAGGGCCAGCAGAGCGCAGGGTGGCAGAGCCAGTGGAGTGCAGGGTAGGAGGAGCACAGGGCAAAGGAGTGCAGGGTGGCCAAAAAGGGCAGAGATGGGGGGAGATAGGCAGGTGGGGGGAATTGAAGAGGAAGTTGTCCTTTACCTTACCAATGCTTGGGGGCTCGGAGGGACCAAGCTGGGAATGGCTTGGATCGGGGTGGGTCCTTGCCTAAAGACTGGGTGGGGTTCAGTTAACAACGGCAACGGGGACTGCCGGGATTGCTATAGCTAAGCGATGTGGTCATGTGATGTCGCGCTTTACAACTACATTGCCTAGTGACAGAAATTCCAGTCCCAATTACCATTGTAACTCAAGGACTACCTATATAAACAAATCTTGTGGAACTCTAAAGAATGATTTATTATAATGTAAATGGTTCAGGAACTCATGCATAATTTTTTTCTTTGTTAAACAGCCAGAAGACTCTTCATTGTTTTTTGGCTGCATAATACTAACCTGCTTAATCTCCTGAAAGTTATTTAAAATGTGCTATTTAATATATTGGCAATCAAACTACAAGTTAAAAAATAAGTAATAATATTTATATTATTTGTTCACCTCAAGCTGCAAAATGCTGTGCTCTGAGAGCCCCCACCTCCCTTAGTACTTCCTAGTTAGGGATGTTCTCTACAGAAATAGATCTGGAACCCACTTTGTAAATATTTCAAGTGTCTTTTGTCTTGGACCTTTAAATATTTACATATAGATATTTAGCTTTAATGTAACAGTGGCTAGGTAATGTGCTTCCTGAGGCATAATAAATATTAATTTTATTCTTTTATAGGATTGTAGATAATATGCCTGTAACATGGTGTTATGAGGTTGAAGATAACCAGAAATTTTGCAATCCTGGATTTCCCATTGGTTGTTATGTTGCAAAAGATGGACATCCCAGAGGTGCCTGTGTTATAAATGTAAGTTCTTTGAAAGTCTACCTTTAGTCAAGCCAATCAGTTTGTCTTTTGATATCTGCAAACCTACTAGTGTACCTGTTTGAAAGATGATTAAGTTGTCAGGCATGAAGGCTATGGACCTTTTTATTTAATTAATGTGTATTTAAAGACCATATATGGCTGCCCACTTCAAATATTGTGACTTCAGGTGGCATACAATAAATAAGAAACAAAGCACAATGAACAATTTCAGTTAAAGTGCAAAACATTAATAGGCAACCAGAAAATCACATTCATGTCCTTCTCCAGATGGGAAGTCCCAAAGCCCTAAGAAAAAGTGAAGTTTTTACTCCCTTTCTGAAGGTTAGCAGGGCTGAGGCCAACCTTGAATCGCACCTGGAAGCCTATAGGAAACCTAAAGGAATGCAGCTCGCACAGCAGTGGTGTTACATGGGGGTACTTAGGTGGGCCCCTAACTACCCATGCCACTGCATTTCATCTTTTGAGTGGTCTTCAAGGGCAGTCCCCCGTAGACCATGTAGTATTCCCTGCCTCCCAGCTTGTACAGTTGTGCTCTAGTAGATGGCCAACTCCAGCATTACAGATCTTTGAACCGCGGACTAACTTGCTTTTTTTTGTCTCTAATCAAGTGAAGACTTTATCAGGACCTTTATGTATACAGTACTGTTTGGTTTAAATTGTTGACATTGGACTTATCAATGTAAGGTTTACCCTAAAATGAAGTTTACATATCTTTTAAATATATAAGCTTAAATATTTTATTAAGGCTTGTAATATAACCATTTAGGTTTTTATTTCAAGTGTTTAGTTTTTGTTATGTTAGAAGGCATCTTGTATGCTTTGATTTAATTCTGAGTCCTTATAGATGAGTAGAAGAGGAAGAGGTGAGTACACAGAGGCTAGTTCTAATAACAGGCAAGATAATCTGCTTAGTATTATATCAAACAGCCTGATAGCTATCTATGGCATACTAAGATTGTTCAGTATAACTAAACATTGCTGAATTAATTTTCATACCTTATACCTATCCACAGTTAATCTATAAGCATAGTGATTTGGAGAATTTTGGGTTTTCAGAGGAAGAAAACTTGCTTTTAAAACATGAGATATAATACATTTTTACAATTTATTTGGATTCATTTTCAAATGCTAATTTTGTTTTGCACCATAATAATTTACTTATTCTATAGAAACTAGCCTCTGGAATGTTCCCAGCAATTGTAATATTGTGTATCAAAACAAATGCAGTTAGATACTGGTAGTTAATTGTACAGGTAGTCCTTGCTTAACATCCACTCGTTCAGCAAAGTTACGATGGTGCTGAACAAGGGCAACTTACGATGGGTCCTTGTAGTTGTGATAAATGATATTTGTGTTCTAATTTACTTTTCATTTTTTTCTTTAGTCAGAATTCCATGAATCAGATACCTTCTATATATTCAATCATGTGGATATTAAAATATTCTATCACACTGTGGAAAATGAAGCACCAAGGGTGAGACTTGTAGCTGCTAAACTTGAACCAAAAAGGTGAATATCAAGTTTTATGTTATAGAACACAAAATTATGTGGGATGTATGAAGCAAATGGGACTTTTGACAATTAGAAAAATCTAAGGAAACGTCATGTGCCAGCTACACGGATCTTCTTATAACTTTGCCAAATATCTGAAGTCAAAGATAATGTGTGCATAAACAAAAAATCTAGGACTAATATTTATTGTTTGCATTTATGCCCAACCTTTTCTCAGAGAGTTCAAAGTGGCTTAATGGGTCTTCCTCCACTAATTTGATCCCCATCACAGCAGTTCTGTGAGGTACAGATATGATTGTAAGCGAGTGACTGGCCCAGAATCTCTTGGGGAATTATTTACTTATTTCGATTTGGTACCACCTGACTCCAGAATGGTTCTAGGCAGCTCACAGTAAAATGAACAGAATCAAGAACAATATAATAAAAAGCTCTTTAGCCACATGGGGACTTGAACCTGGGCTCCACCATTCAAATCCACACCTTGATTACTGCGTTACACTGGAGGTGAAATATAGTATGTATTGGTGAACACTGTGACTGCATGTTCACCTACTAAATCCCTAAGCTATTGTGTGATGCCTTTTAAAGAAATGTGCTTAGGAGTTAGTAGCCATAATGGGTTGAGTAGAGTCTTGCATTATAACAGTGATTCTGCTTGAATGATAATAGTTCTGACTTTGTTTCCAGTGTGTCCATTCTTTCTTATTTTTATTTCACTAGGGCATTTCATGCTGTTTGGAATTTCATTTTCCCCTGTGCAAGTATAAATAAATCCATGGCCAAGCCCCCCATCTGGGTATCTTACTTTCTATGTAGTCATGTTTCCTCTCCTGCACTGCTTCTGTCTTTCTTTTGTAGGCATAATTAAACTTGCCTCTTCTTAAGTTATCTTTCTAATGTTATGAACTACAAAATATTCTCCTTTTGACTTTGCTCTTGAAAAACATGGTTAAGATCAAATGTGCATATTGGATTATAACCAAAAATTTCCTTTTTTCCTAGTTTCAGGCACACAAATATTGACAATCCAGACTGCTCAGGACCACCTATGGATATAAGCAACACATTTAATGATGGAATTGTCAAAATTGCTTATACATATTCAGTTAGTTTTGAGGTTGGTATAGATATAGCTTTCCTCTTGTGGCAGGGGAATAAAATTATGAGTATGTTCTCATGACACATTTAAGCCAAATAAGATGTGAACTCTGGGTGAGCTACTTATTCATCCATGGCACCAAACAGCATGGCAAGCTGATCAGCTGGGATTTGATGGTCATCCTCTATTTAGCCAGGATGATGATGATGATGATGATGATGATGAATCAGGATGATGATGATGATGATGAATCAGCAGCAGCAGCAGCTTTACTTGGAACAGCTTATATTCTGTGAT